AATCTTAAGAGTACAGTTGAATATTCCTTTCAAAATGAAGATGAGACATTTTAGATTAGGGACATGATTACAGTAGAGATTTTACTTGTGAATTAGAATGAAAAAAATAACCATTTTTCTTTCAGACTGGAGAATCAAAATACTTAAAATATTTATGTACTGGCTAGATTAAGTTGGTTTTAATCTGTTTTGTGTCCTAAAATAGCATCAGAAATTCATTGTAATGTGCTTGGTGTGACAGCTGTGTGTGGCATTCAAAATAGTAATAAGCTGCTACGTAATTCTATTCTTATATGCTTTAGCATTTAGAGTCTGAAATAGGAGATCCCTTGTTATTCATGTTGTTGGACTTGGAGGTATGTTTGTTCCAATTATATCTGACTTGGAATAATGATTTTAAAAGTTTGACTTTTAATTGGCACTCTTGTAGCAGTCTTAAAGAGTCCCAGGACTGAATGAATATGTTGAAACTAAACTCTCCTAATCAGATCCACAAAGTGTGGGCAGGATAGTGCAAAGATTATTTCACCTGTTGCTTTTCTTGTGTAGCATGTGTACCTTCTGTTTCCTATCTGTCAATCTGCACTTTTCTCATTTATGAAAAAGAAGCACAATTACTAAAGTGTTAAACCATTTTTAGAGTTTTCTGCCTTTATCACTTTTACTCACTGATCTTCTGCCATCTCAGAAATTTGACCTTGAGGGAGATTAAGAAACACTTCTGTAAGAATAAAGCATTTTAAATTATGTTTGGCACATTAGGCTAGCAGATTAGATATGGCAGCAGAAAGATATTTGAGTGCTTTACCAAAGTGTAATCTGGCATGGTGTTGATTTAAACAATGGCCTCACCACCTGCCTTTTATGAAATGTTAAGTCTGCTCCTTATTATGCCCAGAAGAAAGACCACACACTGATGGGAGTACTAATTAATGCCATTTGTTAAGTGAGTTTTATTATGGTGGATGTTAATTCATTGTGAATTGAACTATGGTGGGAGGTTTCAACCACAACCCCGCTGTGATTTGATGTATTCAGTGTATCATTTCAGCCAGGCAGTTTTGTTTATTGTAGTGGTATTTCTTGGATCTGAAATGGGAAACATACTGATCACCAACAGTTTTGGATTTATGTTCAGTAAAGTGATAGAGAACACAATTGCTACACCTGCTACATAAATCCTTGCTTTTTTATGAGTCATGAGGTAAGAGTAATCTATTTCCAGGCTTTCTGAGTTAAAACGTTATGAATCAAACCACTTCGAATATGAAATGCGTTTCATGATAAAACCAGGTAACAAAAGATCAAAATTAACAATGCCTTCTTGTTTTGGAGGTTACTGGCTGAAGTTTGTGCTATGCGTATTTGCACACTTTATTCTCCACGACCTGTTCTGGAAATACTGGTGGTACTTCGTAAAATAAGCATACAGTGCCATCAAGTGTCTAAACAAGTTATTGCCAGCACGGAGTTGAGGTACAAACAGTGGATGAACAAGACTCTACGTTCTCGCCAGAGGCATAACTATCTGCGAATGCTGAACAGGTTGGCTGATGGCTTTTCTTTACTTTGTGGTTAGGTTTATGAGTCAGTGGCTGTATGCTGCTGTTGCTAGCTTTCAGTGGTTTGTCTTAGAAATTTAAAGTCAACAGTGATCTTATTAACCATTTCACTGTTAAGTGTCAACCGAGATTTCTGTTACATAGTAATTCAGTCAAATTGGGCAAAAATTCAACAGGTATTTTTAACATTGCTAGCCTGCTTCACTGTAAATTACAAGCTGTCACACAAAAGTATCATTTAAATGTTAGATTGTGTCTTTTAGTTGCTAGTTTTTTTCTTTTTAATCCTATAAATGCCAGTCAAGTTTTATCAGAATACATTAAGTTAAACTAATTTCAAGACTTTACCTACTTAATTCCTATTGCTTTTTATCGTTGTACCTGGGTCAACATCATTATAGAAAGAAGAGAGGCTGTTTAGTATTTCCTTATTTTTTTCCTATTCAGAAGTGATTTTCAGGGATTTATGAATCTACTTTAAAAACTGGCAAAATTGTAAATATATTAATGACCAGGGTATGTTACTAAAAATGTTAACTGTCTTATTCAAGAAACATAGCTTAAGCTGATAACTGACATTATTATGGAGTAATGGGTGTTGGTGAGGCTCCCTTTGGAATCTTAACTGTATGTATTTCTCTTTTTGGTGTTTCATAATCTGTAGTCTTCACTTTTTTTGCCCTCCCTGCCCCCATGTGATATCCACCTACTTAGGATGGATCCAGAAGTCTGAAGAATTTGTTAAATTATTTGTTTCTATTCAGTTTGGGTTTATTTTGTTTATTTTTTAAAATTTGTGCTCATTTCCAGCATTAAGCTTTTGTCTCCAATGTTACGTCTCATCTTAGTGCTGATTACTTTGGAACTAGTTAACATCCATTTGGTTTCTAAGAAGAATCCTTTTGATTATCAGCAGTATCTAAAGTGAGTATCATAGAATCATAGAATCCTAGAGGTTGGAAGGGACCTCGAAAGATCATCTAGTCCAACCCCCCCTGCCAGAGCAGGGTCACCCAGAGCACATCACACAGGAACGCATCCAGGTGGGTTTTGAATGTCTCCAGTGAAGGAGACTCCACATTGGGCTGGAGTTGAATGATCAAGCTTCCAAATAATGGACTATTTGCCAAATCCAGCAAAAAGATTTACTGTGAGCTAAATCATGATGAGGCAAGTTCTGCTTGAAGTATGTATCTTGTAGCTTGAGTGGGGGTTTTTTTCAGTTTTTTGATAGTTTTCTATTTTACTGAAAACATCTAAGAAGAGAGTGTGACTAAAATATCTGGAAAATTTTAAATCAAAAACCTATTTTTTTACTCTGAAATATACTGGAAATAATGTCTGACACTGTGATCAACAGGGCAAGAAATTATGAACATTTAGCATAAAGCAGTGCTCTCTGGCAGCTATTCTTGTTATTAGTTCAAATTAGAGTCAGATCTTGCACTGAGATAGAGTTGGTAACTCAGTGATGATTTGTTTATAAACCAGAATTTAAAGGATGCGAGATGGAATAACTTTGTGCAATATGTGATTCCTTCAATTAATGTTATCTGCTCATTCCCAATACTTATCTAGTTAGCTAGTGAGTTAATTTCATGCAGATTAAATATGCACACTCACATCCACATGCTTACAGACTCATATTTATTGTAGTTCAAAAAGTTATCCTCTTGATGCATACTACATTCAAATATTTTTTTTTTCAAATAAATAATTACCCTTTCTCATCCCCAAAGAGCAGCATTTCAAAGGAATGTATCAGTCGAAGAATGGATTCACACAGAAGACCACCTATCCCTATCCATTTCCTTTCTCCTATGGAGAGTAAAACCAGAGAGTTATGTCTGGACAATGTTTGACTGTACAAAGGATCAGAGATTCAAGTTACGTTCTAGTAAGGTTCCTTGCAAGGTTTCTTGACTGGAAATCACAGTGACAGAATTACTAGTTCTGTTTATTTGGAGTGGGTGATGGATATAAATGAAGATCATACTGCTTCCATAATGCTACTCTTGCAATACAATGTGTGTGTTTGAAATTTAACTATGTCCCTTTTCAAGTTGTTGGGGTTTTTTTGTTATTGTGGAACTAAATTATGTGAAGAAGTGTGAACTAGATCAAAAAGATTAAAACTAGGAATAGAGACTAATTCATCAAATGCTGTGTATGAGCCACAGTCTGAAATTTCATCTTTTTTGAACATCTGACTTGAAAAATCCTATTTATATTTTTTGAAGACTTATATTGAACCTGTTGACTTTTCTCAGAAATGTTAACTTCTGCTAAGTGTAGCTTAGTAGTCACATTTATGATGACATTGCTTGGGTGGTGATAAGTATTGTAAGGAGGTGGGTGGTAAGTATCATAAGGCAAATTACGTACTTATTGTGGGAAACAGATCAAGAAATTAAAACACAGAGTCATGGTTTAAAAGGATATAAACAGGTGAACACACTTTCTCCTTCTGAAAGTATGTTCATGTACTGAAAAGCACAGGCCATTGATCTATATTTCAACAACATAAGTTTTCCTTTTTTCCTATACTTAAAATTTGCTAAAGTGCCTGTGCATGCTGTTCTCTTCATTTGCTGTTGCCTAAGGTGGAGCAAATTGATGCTTTCTACTTTACCAATTAGTGCCATAGATTTACTGCTTTAAGTCTGCAGTAAGAAATGTGATGGACTTCTGGCAATTGTGCCAAAGATGCTTTTCCAGTTTGTTTGTCCTAACTCTGAAGCTCTCTGGTGGGAATGCTGCTACTATCCATTGTTAGACAAATCTGGAACAGACTGGGACAATCCAATTTATTCTGACTGAATGCTGTTATTTGCCAGTAGAGCTGCATGCAGGGTTTATTGTTTCTTCCTGCTGTTCAAAGACTTGCAGAATAGAGCTGTGGAATAACTATATTCTACAATGCACATTGAAGAATTAATGGCACGAGACATGGTAAAGAGCATCAGTTTTGTCCTTTATCAGTTACTTGAAATTACTTCACCACTTCAGTTATTTATGTTTGCCATCTGTTTGGAGTCACTTCGAGTTTTAAGATATTAGAGTCTTTACTCTGAACACTTAGTATTCCTGAGAGCAAAAGAATAATCAAAGGCATCTAGTGGGTACATGCATGAGTAATGCTGACAAAAGACATCACATTTAAATGCAAGTGTTCTGATTTTTGTTGTCTGAAAAGAAAATGAATTCTGGAGCTGAGCTGTCCAAAACTGCATAGTCATCTATTAGGCATTCGTGAAGTTGTTCAGTCTTTTTTCAAAATTCTTTCATTCTTGAAATTTCAAATATCTAGAATTGTACAAAAAATGTTTAATGGGTTTTTTAATAAGTGTGGTATCTCATACAAATACTGCTTGTGTCTGTTTTAATTATTTGCCTTTCTCCCTGAGGTCTGCATTTTTCTGGAGGATTCACTCAATCTATACAGACAAATATGTGGAATCTGCAGCATATTCTGAGGAAGGTGGTTGAATTATTTTGTTTACCTGGATAATGATGATGAGAGAGTGATTATTCTTCAGTCATTTTTTTTAAATTCAGTTAATCCATTTAACTGTTTGTCTATATTAATTAAAATAGCTGAGAGTTTCTTTCTAAATCTTTCCAATCTTACAAGCTAATGTTAGGTATTGCAACTCAAAGAATTTATGACAGGATTTTTGAAAATTTTGAAGAAAATTAGGTATCCATCTTTTTGGCTAAGTCATTGGAATTCCTTTGCATTACGTATAATATCCCATCTAAATGAGAAGAGAAGCATCTCTAATAATTTTAGTTTTTCGGTAGTGAGAAGCAGTTCCCCTGCCTGCATTCTACCTCAAGGGAAGTTTTCAAATGAGAGAACGTTTTAAATAGTAAGAAACTGAATGCTCTTAATTCAAATTGGAATGGATGTAGTTTTCAAGTGAGAGTAGAGATATTTTGCTGCTTACATTAGAACTAGTGAAAATTGATGTGGCAGGAAGTCCTCTGAATCTGTTGTCTCCATTATTATATGAATGTTCAAATGCATAAATCTTTGAAGAAAAGCTACCTCTGAAATAATTGTGTTGTGGTTGTGTGAACATTTGTGGGGTTTAGTACCGTCTAGGGACCATCAAGGTGAACTTGAAGTTTACTGAGATGGGCAGTGCACAAACACAGTGAAATATCAATTACGGTAGGGATCTGTGCGTGGAAACAAAGCTTGTCCATTATTTCTCTGTCATTCTCTAGCTAGTGCTCTCCACAATGGTGGGAGGAGGGGTTAGAAACAGAGCTGTGTGTTCTTATACAAATATAACCCAAGTGGCAAAAAGTTCTTAAAACCTTTTTGGGGTTTTCGTTGCTATTGCATTATACAGAAACATTTCTCGTAAGGGAGGAACAAATTTGATTTACTTTATCATTTAATACTTACCATCTAGCTGTTTTCAAGCAGCCTGATAGTCTTTGAAGTAAACACATGGTGGCAGTGTTTGGTAATTCAAAACAGTACTGCATCCTTACATTTATTTTATCTCTTTTCTTAGAATCTGTATAAAGAAATGAAGTTGTCTTCTGATTTCCACAGCTTTGTTATATGAGTCTTTAATTTTTGCTGTTGCTTCTGGTGAAACTTTTTTCTCTCCTTATTTGTTTCAGTTCACTTTTGGAGAAATTGAACATCTCTGGAAAAATGTTTTGCAAACAACATTTAATAATTAGATACAGGTTCACAACTTTTACCACATTACTTGCTGAGGGCTTTTCAAATTTGCGAGAATTTCATTAACTTCGCCTCTCCTCGGGTACATTAAGAGAATGACTTATTTAAATTTGATAAATATTTTAATAAATTATTGTTTATTACAAAACATAAGAAGGTATCGACATGCCTGAAAGAAAAAATTCAAATTTTCCTTTGTTAGTTGTCACAATAACACACAAAAAAATATTATCTCAAAAGCAAATCTTTTGAAATAAAACAATAGTTGTCGAGGAATGTGTTTATTGGGAAATTTCTCTGAGGTCTCAGCCTTGCTGCTGCAGTAATTATTTTTCAGTCTGTTAAAATTGAAATGTGCTATTCATATGCCACCCTGTGAAGAAGATAAAGTTGAACATTGCTTGTTGGGTGGCCTTTGAAAACCTTGTCCACAGTAGCACTTTCAAACCATGCAGAGAGGTTAGTGTTGAAAAATATTTTCAATCACATGAAGTAATTTTTGTATGCTGTGAAATCCTGTGTAGAAATGTTGGAACATCCCCAGCAGAACTTGTTTTTGCCTTATACTACATTAGTGCATCTGGTCCATGTATGGTCTATCACCTTTTTTTCATAAATTGGTCTGCAGATGTGGAGCAGATTCCTGGCTGACATAAACTATTCCTGTTCCATCTACTTCAGTGTAGATCCTTTACTCCAGTAAGGATCTGCCCCATGCTGTTTGGGTTTCCCTTGAAGTGGATTGGTTCCTATCTGTGCTTTTTCCAGACTTACATATTTTCAGGGAACTGGAAAAAAGAGCTATGTATTATAGATAAAATGGCTGTATAGCAAAGCCTAATTCATTTAGTGGCTTGCTTTGCAAGGAAGGGGGGATCATGTCTGGGACTTCACAGCTATATACCAAATTCTTAATTCTTTAATATTTTTGTGTTTCAGAAAAAATTCACCTAGAGTAGAAATAAGTTTTCAATTTGACGCTTTTTCAAGGGTAATACTTTAGGTTAGGTCACCTAATTTTTGCTTTTTAAAAATGTTCAAGGATAGATACTGCTCTGTTTTTTAAAAAGTCTTTTAAGCCATATAGATTTTCAGATAGGAATTTACTGAAAGGAAAATGCCTGTTGTTTGCCTTCCCTGGGCCCCAGGCAATAGGATGTAAATATGGGTAGTGAATACCATGTGAGATCAAACTGGCATTTTTTTCTGAAGGTGAGAATCCA